TGTCTGGGGCTCAGATTCCTATAGACACCAAGACAATTGAGAAAAGAGGAAATAGGAGGAGGAAGTGGAGAAAGACAAGACTCATAATCATTCTCCCTGATGCTCTCTTGAGTTGATGTGAGAGCTGGCAGAATCTATGTCTGCAAAGAAGATGCAAGAAAAAGCATGGAATCTAATCCCAAGCATGTTTCTAATAATATCTTCTCAACAACTGGCATCTCTATACCAAATTCCTGATTTCATTACTTTCAGGGACAGCTTTCCTGAAGGGTCTCACCAAAAATCTTAATTGGTTCCTATTGGGCAAGAAAATAATTATTAGAAATATTCTAGATAATTTTTAGGTTTTAAATTGGTGTTTTAGTCTCTTTGCAATTCTTGCTCAAATTTTCTTCACCTAAGTCTGAAAAAGTAAATTTCAAATAACTATGATTTGTTGAAAATTATGATTGCAGAATCTTTTAGTCAGTTGAAACAGGGTGGCTAATAACTTAACTTGAAAATGGAATGGATTTCCCATCAGAGTCCCATAGTAACTGTGTTTTTGTAACCTAACACAATGAAGGGGTTATCACTAGATGATTCAGCAAGTTAGAATCTCAACTCCTTTTCTGGGAAGGAAATCTGAGGCATGTGTTTATGCTAGATGCTAAAACTACAATTCTCTCCAATCAGTGTCAGGCAGAGACTATGCACAGAAAGGTAGGAAGTAAGGTCAATCAACTGTCTACCTTGGTCAGAACCAAGTCTTATAGCTAAACCTCTCTCTCTCTCTCTCTCTCTCTCTCTCTCTCTCTCTCTCTCTCTCTCACACACACACACACACACACACACACACACACACACACACACACCCCAAGTCTTAACTGCTCAATTTCTATAAAGGTTCTTGGTAAAATTTCCCTATGGCAAAATCACCAGTAACTGGAATTTTCAGTTCATTCAGTATCAGTGGGAAATTTGCCCTGGCTTTTGACTGACAGCCACAAAAACCAGTTTGACTGAAAGTAGTGATACCAGGAGGTCTAGGTGGAGTATTAGCTCACCAACTTGGAATGATAACTTGAAGAATGCTCACACTACTTCTTATGTATACTTCAATCTAAGTCTCTGAAAGCACTGAAGTCACAAAAATGACAGATTTATAGCAGGAAGGTTTTTTATTCAGAACTCAAACACCAAAGAAAAACTCCTTTCATCAGGGAACCCTGAAAAGTAGTGTCTAAAAATCAGCTCCAAGCCAATTGCATTCACTTCTCATCATTGTATGTTTCTCCAGTTCCCACAGAAACCCCACTGGGCTGAATTTTAAATGGCGCAAAAGCACAAGAGGGAGAGGTCTACCCCAAGCTTTCTGGAGAAAAAAGTTTAACATATTTTTTTTATGTAAGATTGAAGGCCAGTTGGGGCGATTCTTCTACACATTAGATCAGGATGAAAATAGTTTTTATTTTTTCTCTACTATATTGAATTTAGGAACAAGTATCTACTATTTTTAAACCTTTAATTGTGCATGCATATGTCTTGATTGTTGACAGTTCTATTTTTCTACAATAAAACAAGCTTATCAACTACTGGCCAGAGTCTTAGTGCTGTGCTTCCACTAGATTTCTTGCCCGGGTTCTGGTCCCAGCATTAAAAAGGGTTCAGTAATCTGGAGAAAGTTGCTGCATGTAGATTCAATAAGGAGTCCAAAGATGAAAGATAATTTTGAAAGGCATTGGAGTTAGAGGAGCTTCAGCCAAAGGAACAAAAGACTCTCCTTGATTCATGATCCCATGGTTTTTTATTAACACAATTTTCCCTAAGGCAAGGTGGAGATAATATACTTCAAAGGGTAGGGTTTACAGAAGCATTGTCTAATTAGGGAATAGTCTACAGCTGTTCAGGTGTTTGCCCAACAGGAGGCAATAACATGTAGATTAAGATGCCCTGCGATGTCTGGCAGCAAAAGATTATCCTTTTCAGCTTTGGGGAAGATGCTTTTTAGCCGTTCCAACAGCTAAACTACATAAACTACATATGTGGCTCAGCCGTTGTTGAGCCCTCCAAGCTTCACCAACCTTTTGATGAAACTCTTGTAATTATGACATGCTGGAATTGGTTCCCGGCAAATTCTGTCCATTCAACCCATGTTTGTGAGTTGAAGTGATGTCAGCTTCCCTGCCAACACTCAGTTTTCCATTTGTCTATTTCCTCAGGCTAGTGTGGCTAGTGTGGATCATGGTCTCACTTGAAAATACCAAGTTAACTTTAAAAACATTTGTCTAATTAAAGTAGAACCAAAATAATTAGTCTTGAAATTATGTTATTCAGAAATTAGAAATATAAAGTGCTTAAATCTGGTACACGTTTTTCATTGGAGAGAATGCTATGATTCAACATGTAAAATAAAGGTCATGAGTGCCTGAGTCAGTGAGACCTGAGTAGGAGGAGTCCAGAGTGTGTTACTCACCAGCCTGTGACTCTAGCCTGCTCACTTACCCATAAGAGCCTCAATTTCCTCACCTGGAAACAGCTCCACATAGAAACGCTATAAAATTCTATTGCAATGGGAGGGGCTACATACTATTTAATTGTCCCTCCCTCTCCCCCTAAATGTACAGAAATTAGATAGCAGTTTTTGTCATCTTCCCCCAAAGGTGGCTGGGATCTGGAAACGTAAAGGAGAACCACAGAGAGAATCACTTGATGCTCCTGAGAATACTAGGTTACTAGGTAAAACTGAAATTTTTCAAATGGAAATGCCAATTTTTCCTAACTTTTCATAAGACATTTTGGTTTTACATAAAATCAAATAACCTTAGAAATGATCATACTCAACTCTGCTTTTATTTGAACAAAATTTATTTGAACAAAAATGTTTATTGAGAGCCAACTAAATGACTGACACTGTTTTAGCTGCTGTGCTCTGGAAGGTAGCCTGCTTTCTGAGACCTTAGCAGAGCTTGGGTGGCTGATTAGGGCATCACGGTCTGCATGGTGCTGGGTGGGGCATGTTTAAGGACAAAATGGAAGTTATATGCAGGTTTTTAGACAGAGAAGGGTGTGGTAGGTGTCATGGAAAAACTGATTGGATAGATCAACAGAATGAAGGGTTAAAATGAGGATGCCTCAACTCACTTGCCCCTGCAGCCCTGACATCTGAGGAATCCCGCCAGCAGTAGGACTCCAGCCAGGACAGAGGGCACCATTCCCTTTGTTGGATGCATGGTGGTGAAGGAATGGTGCACTTGTGCAGATCTGCCTCCCTACTCCGTAGCAGACAGTGATGTCAGCTTCCCTGCCAACACTCAGTTTTCCATTTGTCTATTTCCTCAGGCTAGTGTGGATCATGGCCTCACTTTTGCTAGCATATCTCAGGCCATGCTTCCTCTTAAGTCCTCCGCCCAGAGTGGATTGCCGTCGGTAACTCTAGTTGGCTCCTCACATTTAGTATGCATCCTGCTCTCTAGTTTTGGCCCAAATTCCTTGGATTCTGGTCTCAGTCTGAGCTTCCAGATTCACCAGCCCCACTCACCTTTCTTTTCTGAATTGATAACTCACCATCTTGGCCTTTAGCCTTTTTATCTGGCCACCCTGTCCTCTCCCCATGCTGCCTGATGGTCCAACCTGCTATTCAAGGGCTAAACAGGTTTAGAACCAGACTTCTCTGCAAGAACCACATCAGAAAGTTGGTCTGACACCCTTTTCTGCTTTTATGTACAGAACCCATCTCAGGGAATTGGCTGGGAAGACAATAGTTCACCCCCTAACTCCCTCACAGCCCCCCCCCCCCGCATAATCAATGACTGTGACTCTAGTCATCCCAGGTTCTCTCAATCATGTGTCACCAATTTGCTTGCCTCTTGTCTCCTCCTCTTCTCTCCTCTCCTTTCCTCTCCTCTTCTCCCTTCCCCTCCCCTCTTTCCCCTTCCCCCTTCCCCCTTTCCTTTTCCCCTCCCTCTTCCCTCTTCTCCCTCCATCCTCTTCCCTCTTCCCCCTCCCTCTTCTCCCTCTCTCCTCCTCTTTCTCCTCCTCCTACTCCACCATCACCTCCCTTCTTTCTCTTCTTCTTCTTCCTCCCTTCTTTCTCTTCTTTTTCTTCTTCTTCTTCTTCTTCTTCTTCTTCTTCTTCTTCTTCTTCTTCTTCTTCTTCTTCTTCTTCTTCTTCTTCTTCTTCTTCTATCCTTCCCCCATACTGTAGACCTCCCTGGGCCTTCCTTGGCATCACTTTTCTTGACAGCAATGCTCAGCAGTAAAAAAATATCTGAGCTCTTGATGTTGACTAATGCCATCTTTGTTTTAGTACCAGATTTGTTTTGGAGGCAGCTGTCCAGGAAGGCTGGACAGTCAGAGCAGCCTGCAGAGCATGCCATAGGCAGAGGAAAGAAGGGTGCTCTGTAATTTTCCTGACAGCTTCCTCAAATTCATGGGCAATGGCTTGAATGCCTTGCCTTTAACAGACCAGGAAAGGAGCTCAGACCTCAGGAAACTAGCCCAGGTTTCGAATTTAATCAGTGCAAAAGTGGACGTGAACTCAGAGCTCTCAAACTAAAAATTGTCCTGCATGGAGCAGGATCACAGCCCACCATCTTTCAAAGTCTCAAACCAGGCAGGTCACAGTGTGGACATTTACACTTGGCAGTTACTAGTAAACTGTACTAGACTTTCCTGTGGATCCTTTATCCTGTAAAGGAGTTACACAGTTAATTTCTTGTTGAGGATTAATCATTTTCTCTCCTCCCTATGATTGTTTCTCATGTCCTGTCTCTGGTTTCACTTGTCCCAACCCTTTTGAAGGGCGGGACATTTCTTCTCCCTCCCCTCCCAACTGCAGCTTGTAATCAGGACCAATGAAAGCAAACTACCTCATCAACTCAGAGTATTTAAGAGGTTGTAGGAATGGGCTGAAAATCAGCTTTTGTTTTCTGTGCAGACAGGCACACTCCCATCTGATTTGGGCCATCCCTCAGCTGCGGAGTGAAGGGGGAAAAATAACCTCCAGACTCCCTGCCACCATGTGCTATGGCAAATGCGCACGATGCATCGGACAGTCTCTGGTGGGGCTCGCCATCCTCTGCATTGTAGCTAACATCTTGCTGTACTTTCCCAATGGGGAAACAAAGTACGCCTCTGAAGAACACCTTAGCAAGTTCGTGTGGTTCTTTTCTGGCATCATAGGAGGGGGCTTGCTGGTAAGTTGTTCGAAATTATTACAACCTTAACAACTTTTTTAAATGTGATTATTTCTTGTGTTTTTTTAATGGATTTTTTTCTTTATAATGCCTATTTCCAAATCCAGTGATTTTTGTTCATTTTTTCTTTTCAAAACAGATTATGCAAAAGTTAAGATAGGCATAAGATACTAATTTTATTGGATGTAGTTTTACAAAATCTTCTTTCAACTAAAAGTGAACTATCTTTTTGCTAAACTCTTACTTTACAACTAGAAACAGATACTAGCTGTTAAATCAGATTTGAGAGACTGGAGTTTCTAGCCTTGGATCATTTTTGCTCTGGGGAGTTGAAAGGAGTCAGCTGGTTTTCTGTCTAAATCAACAAAACTTGTGATCCAAAATCTCTGCTGTTTGTCCTCAGGTAATGAGACAGGAAAAAAATTGTGAGTGAATTATTATTTAGAAAGAGCTATAGAATTTTTCCTTTATGTAATTCTTGGGTGTGGTGTCCAGGAAAATCTTGCCTCTCACAGCAGATCACTCTGAAGCTAGAGTGGAATGTGTTGTTTTTTCAAAGTTTATTTTTAATTGAAGTGAGAGGAATGTGCTTGCCAATTTTGGAGCTGAAAATACAGTTTTAAGCATAGCATGGAAAGAATGTGTACAAAGTTGAGCTTGCTACTTTAAAATGCTGTGATTGAGAATTTTAAAAGAGAAATTTATAGAATTGCTAATACTAGACAAAATAGTTTTTATATTCAAATAAAGGATATTTAAATCTTGATAAACTAAAGAGTTTGATAAATCTGCTTTGGATTTAAACATTACTATCACATTAATATAACCATTTGTCCTTCAATAATATTATACTTATTTAAGCTTCTTTTTATCTCAAAGTATTTCATACTTTATTTACAGAGTTTTGTTATAAAGTTAGTAGAGGCCCAGTGTCCCTCAGCCCAGCCTGCACCCTCTCCAATCTGGGATATCCCTCTCACAATGCATGACTACTGGCTCCTAACTGCCCATTTGCCTGTTTACTTGATTGCCCCTTACCACTTTTGCCTGCCAGCCTGATCATCCCCTAACCACTCTCCTGCCAGCCTGATTGACGCCTAACTGCTCCATGCCAACCCAATTGCCCCCATCTGCCCTCCCCTGCTGGCCCGATTGACCCTAACTGCCTTCCCCTGCCAGTCTGATCTTCCCCAACAGCCCTCTCCTGCAAGCCGGGTCCCCCCAATTTCCCTCCCCTGCAGACCCCATTGCCTTCAACTGTCCTCCCCTGAAAGCCATCTTGTGGTGGCCATCTTGTAATGACATTGGGGGTGGCCATCTTATGATAACATAGAGGTAGCCATCTTGTGGTGGCCATCTTGTGATGACATGGGGGCAGCTATCTTGTGCTGATGTGAGGGCAAGACGCCGCCTAGGCTTTTATTAGTATAGATAACCATACAATCATGTCTTCAAAGAAGCAGTTCACTTTTATTATTACAGAGCTTCCATCTCTTCCATTTACAAAAAAAGTGTCAGTGATTCTGTTAAAGATTGTAGGTATCTTCTATATTTTACAATGAAAAACAAATCAGATTTAAAGGCAAGTTTTAATAATTACAAAACAACACTTGCAAAAAGCAACAAGAAAACCCAGCAGCAGTTGCAGCTAGGACTATGTTAGGAACTTGTGTGAAATAAGCACATTCAAAGGTTATTGTTTTAGTCCTCCCATACCACACCCTCACCTTAAAGAATGCTTTGACACATTACATGAAAACAAGCAGATATTACATTTTTAGGGGTTTTTTCTCTTCATCATGTCACATTATTTGAGATACTTGTTCAATTTAATCCAATGCCAGTCAACAATGACAGAAGTAAATATATTTTACCAAAGGTACTTAACCTGACCCTTAATAGACTTGGGGAAAGACAATAACTTTAATCTGCTTGTTTTCTAATCAGATATTCCTGCCAGCATTTGTCTTTATTGGGTTGGAACAAGAGGACTGCTGTGGCTGCTGCGGCCATGACAACTGTGGCAAGAGATGTGCGGTAGGTCCTCCTGCTCTGGTGGAGACATTGGTTTCCACATCATTGCAGGACACTCTGCGGCTCACTTCTGGTGTTTCTCCTCCCCTAGATGCTTTCTTCTGTGCTGGCATCTCTCATCGGAATTGCAGGGTCTGGCTACTGCGTCATTGTGGCAGCTCTGGGCTTAGCGGCAGGACCACTATGTCTTGATTCCTCCAACCAGTGGAACTATACCTTTCTGGACACTGAAGGACAGTGAGTAATTGTTCCATAACAGACCACACAATATTATCTACCACATGTGTATAGTGCAAACCCATTAAACTAAAAAGGCTTCATTCATCCATTCATCCATCCAGGATGCTCTCAAGGTAGATATTCTTCACTTTTCCTCCTTCTGTAGAATAAAAGCTAAGCTCCCTGCTTTGACATATAAGACCCTCAGTGGTCTGTCCTCTGCCTACTTCTCAGGCTGCTGCGAACCCAGGCCTGACTGCCGCCATGGGCGGCCAGAACCTGGGCCTGACTTCTTCCCCAGGACACCCCACCCCCCTGCCTCCCTGCCTCCCTGCCTGTGTCCGCTTCAAGACTACACAAGTCAGTGTGGTGGCTCAGCCAGCCCCAGGATCCCCTTACCCCCTACCCCCGGGCTTGTGTTCACTTTGGGACTGCCCAAGCCAGTGCAGCTGTGCAGAAGCTTGGGCAGGCCTCCCTGTCTCTGTCTCCATCTCCGCTCCAGGCCTCACTTGCTGCGCAGCCTCCTTCTGACTAGTCCTGACTGTTACAGCATCCTGGCTTAATTTGCATAACTTGCATATTACTATATATATATATATATATATATATATATATATTCAGATATGACCTTAGCATTATTTCCTAACATTTCTCATAGTTACTTTGGATTGTTAAGTATCATTCAATTACTTTAAAAATGTGTTGAAAACCTACTATGTGTCAAATAGTGATCTAAGGACTGGATATACAATGATGAAAGGTCTGGTTTCCATCTTCATGAAGCTCAGACTTGTGGGAAAGCTACATATGTAGATCTTCTCCCTGATCTAGGATAGGTTTCATTCCTCTGTGGCCCTTTCACACTTGATTTACCTGATTACTATATCTGTTTCATGAGATTGCCTATTGTCTGTTCCCTGAAATTGTGCTTTTCCAGAACAGAGCCCATGCTGTGTTCACTATTGCATTCCCAGCCCTGGCTCAATGTCTCACATTGAGTGTTCAATACTCTCTGTTAATTTTTATGTTTATCATGGCAACAAAATTGGGCTAAACTGCCATTTTGTGGAGTGACATGGATTGGAAGAAGTTGAGATAGGCCATTGAATTAATTTATTCCTTTTTTCTGAATGAAGAAACACCCAACAAAAAGTAGTTTATGTAATATTCCATTAGGTGTGGTCATGTGTCAGAAATTTCTCTTTTTATGCATAGATACCTTCTGGACAAATCCACATGGTCCCAGTGCATTGAACCCAGGCATGTTGTGGAATGGAATGTTTCTCTGTTTTCTATACTCTTGGCACTAGGTGGAATTGAATTCATCTTGTGTCTCATTCAAGTAATAAATGGAATGCTTGGAGGCATATGTGGCTACTGCTGTACTCACCATCAGGTAAGGACCTGCGTGAAAAAATCATAGCCTGTCCCTCTTGTAGTCAAGCAATATAATGCACCATAACAGAGGAAAAAGGCAAAAATCAAACATCGCTCAGCCTACTAGCATTTATTCCTACATTGTCTTTGTGACAAAGTATTTATAGTGTTCAGTTTGCTCTCAATAATAAGTTTCCTTGAATGTTACAGTTACCTTCATAATTGGCTCTGTGAATAGGGGGAAATGTCACCCATAGACAAAATGTCCCATTCAGGAGCCAACCCACTGTTCTGGCTGCAGATACAAAAGAAATGTCCTCTCTTTTCTTCTCTCCTGTTACCAACTAGTTTTCACAAATAATAGCCAAAATTCATTGCATTATCCATAGTGCAAACCCATTTTTCAGCTGAGACTGTGACTCAGACATTAAGCAATATGCTTAAAATTACTTAGTCAAGAAAGTAATGAGCTTCCAACCCAGGGTCATTTTTTGCGGCAGCACCTGCTCTTAACCTGTATGCAATACTTGCTGTTCTGCTGAGTTTTCTACAGCCCCTTCCTAATAAAAAGCTCAAACAGCTAAACAGAGAGAGTCACTAGTAGCCTTTCAATAGCAGCTCATGAAAAGCTTTTCATTGTGAAAGAAAACCAGGAAGCAGTTGTTTCCTGGGGATATGATTTTGGAGAAAAATATGTATTTGTTAGTAGTGGGGAACATCTTGTTTCTATAGCCTCCTAAAAATTATATATTATTAAATTGACGGAAGTTCAGCTTTGGTTCAATTTGGAGGATGGTGTTGTTTTATGTCTTATTTGTAAAATAGGATTAGATAAATAGAAAATTATTTAATGTATATTTCCCTAGCCATTTACTTCTCTGTAAATGGTTCAAGGACTCTTAACTTTCTTTTAAAGTAAGATAAAACTCAGTGAACATCAAAAGCCCACTATTACCATAAAAAAAATACATGGCGCTATAAATAAATGGAAACTTTCTATAATTTTTTAGGGAAAGTTAAAATAAAACTCTAGTTTGCCTTGTCAGACAAGATTAATCCAGCAAGGTTAATAATTTTCTTGGGAGCTTGCCAAATTCCCAAGAAAACAAAGAAGTGGGAACCCTTTACCATGAGCTGTTTCCAGCAAGGTGGTTTGGCAGAGACAGGGAAGAGTCTTCTGTGATTACTAAGTAACCTATCTTTAGTTTTGAGCTTCATTTAAGGCACCATTTAAATTTTGTGGGGCCCCACTAGACCTCTGTTCTCATGCATCTTGGGGACAGGCATGATATATCAATGACCAAAGTTACTGTAGGGGTTTAGCAGAATGACACTCTCTCCTGGGAGGGAACAAACAGTCCCCCTGGGTTTACATTGAGTCACAGTAGGAGTGGCTGCTTTTCCCAACACTGCAAGCAGCTCTGTTACCTTTGTTTATAAGACAAAAGTGACTTTCAAAGGACAAGGTTTTTACTGAAGGTGAGTCAACTGTAGAACTCGGTAGCATTTAATGAGAAAGGTTACCCACACTGAACCCATTCCTATGTGAAACTCCCATGGCATTATCTCTAAAATCCTTAAGATTAAAAACCTACCCAACATGTTCAAAGCCAAGTCAGCATTAGTAAGCTACAGTTTCCATGGCCTCTTTCTGCAGTTTTTACTCCGAGAGGACAACTGGTCTGTCTGGTTTGTTTAGGAAATGTTTTGTGAGTATTGTCTAAGTTCTAGTGTTGTCCCTAGAAGCTCTGCTGAAGTTGAGATCAGCTAGCTTCATGCTTGCTTAAAATAGGAATGTAAAAGACTGAAAAGCCATCATTGTTCATTTAGCCTGTTTGTAACCTAATGCAAATTTCTTTTTTTTTTTTACAGCAATATGACTGTTAAAATAACCACCCCAAGACAGAACCACAATCTTCCCTTATTTCAATGTAATTTATATATTTTACTTGTATTAATTTGTAAAACTTTGTACTAGTGTGTCATACTTCTTATATACTCCTTTTATAAGTTTGTGTAAAGACTAGCATTTTCATGTGATGTCAGTGTTTGCACTTTGCAAACAAATATATATATTTTTTATGGAATGAAAAAATAAACCACACTCTTGAGGTAATTTACAGATGGAGTAATGGTCCTCAGTGCATCTTAGATAAGCTCTGGCTTGAAATAATGTTTTTAAGAAACACTGCAATGATAAATATTACATCCAAATTTATGCTGTATATATGTGCTTGTGATTATTAAATGAAAGATTTCTCATAGCTTTTTAAGATCATGAAGGAGAAAATCCAACAACTTGAAAAGATGCAGCCTCTAACATGAAGCCTCTGCACTGTTTTTGCCTTCTGGGAGGGACAGCTCCTTGCCCAGAGTGGGAGGACTGACTCACGACGCTCCAAGTCTAATGAATGAGTCAAAACATACAATGCTGCTGGTTGCTGCAAGCACTTCCAGATCCTAAGTTTTCCTAACAGTGCAAACTGTTTTGTCCTTCAAAGGCAAGCACTGAGGATTACATATTTAAGAAGAGAAAGGCCTGGATAATTAGACAGGAAGGATGATGGGAAACGGAATAAACCACCATGCATGAGAAAACGGGGGAGAAGGGAAACAAGGCAGGAGGACCACAAGGAAATATCCCAAACTTGCTTGTTTAAATACAACAAAATAAAGTATCCACTACCATTTTTTTTTTCTTGTTTAGTTTCTTTGTCCTTTGTTTAAAATATCTCCTTTCTTTTTCTCCCTATTTTTTCCCAGTCTGCAGGTTGTGAAACCCCTATTGTTAGGCACTGTGTATTTCCCTATTTCTTTATCCCACTTTTTCTCCCTCATCCCTCTCTCCTCTCCTACCTTTCTCTGCTCATTGCTCTGCCATCCCTCAGAGGCCTCACCTGTTAGGTAGCCTACCTTTCTGCTGGATAAACAGGCTGGGGTGGAGGAGAGATGACAAACATTTTCTTTCTTGATATTTTATGTTGGTTGTACAGTTAGGCTCTTTCAAGTGACAGGATCCCCTGATTTATTTATTGGGTATTGTTTTCAGAAATTTTCTGCATTCAATGTTGTCTGATGATGGAGCTAAGCCATAATGACCAATGTAACAGGATGGTATGTTAAGACAAATAAACGAAGCAGGTAGCTCTATAAAATAGAATATATTGCAGGGTAATTATGGGAACTTTAGGTCTGAGCAGAATACACGACCCAACAATTCTGCACAGATTATTCTCTGCTACGGACTCCTGTTACTATACTTTAAAAAATAGTATTAATAATTGAAAATACAGGCACAAAGACTGCAGTAACAACAGGGGCCATGCCTCCTGGTGATCTTGCAATAGATGAGTGATTATGATGGTCTATCATCAGTTTGATATTTATCTCCAGTTGTCCTACCTTCCCAACAATGTTTATGGCTACATTTTAAGGTACACAGATGTCATCAACTAGAAAGCTTTGATATACTTGCCAAGAACAGTGAGTGATGTTAGTGAAAGGTTGAAGCATGAAACAAAAAATGAAATGAAATCTGGAACTCAGAGATGGAGTTGTTTTTGCTCACATCAACATCTCTAAAGGTGTTCATTTTTCTTGGCAACAGACATGTAGCTAATAAAGCAGCTTTGTTGGCTGTTAGACCACAGAGCTCCTCCTGCTGCCTATGAGACACCCAATAGCACTTTCTTGACTGAAGGATTCTAATCTTTGTTGTACCTCTGTCTCTCTGGCAGTCTGATGAAGCCTACAGATTTTGATGAAGGATACTGTTTAAAGAACACACTATCTAATTGGTGGGAAAATAAGACTTTTTTTGAGGGGAGTGGGCTAGCAGCCTGACTCTGTACCTAATCAATATCCCTAATGCACATTCTTGTTAGCTGATAATTAACTCATTGCCCCTTCCTTATCTGGTCTTGCAAGACATAAATACTCTCATTTTACAAAGGCCATAAACCATGAACAATACACAACCTCCAGAGTATGTTATCAGCGCTGTCTCCAGGCCAGGCCTTAAAGTGTGGTCTCACATCCCCCATTCCAACACATGGGGCTTTTTGCAAAGTCTGTGAAAGGTCCGGAAATCTGATCCATATGTAGGGTACAAAGAAACCAAAATATATAAAGAGAAAGCTTCCTCTACATTGGCTTGCTTAGGATTTGGAAACAGGCTCTCCTGATCACAGTACTAGTACATCTGGAAATAAAAAAAAAAAAATTTTCCCCGGTATCACTGGTATTCCTATGTGTATTTTCTGGTCACCTGCTAAATTCTGTAACATAATCTCAGAGGGAAAGCAAAGGAGGGTGGTGGTGGTAGGAGATTAACCAAAGGACTTGTATGCATGCATATGAGCATGGACACAGACAGAAGGGGAAGTGAGAACATGTGCTGGGGTGGTGAGAATGGCTAGGGAGAAGTCAATGGGGGAAAAGGAGACATATGTAATACTTTAAACAATAAATATATATTTTTTAAATGTGAATAGCCCTGGCTGGGTAGCTCAGTTGATTAGAATATCATCCTTATACACTTAGGTTGTGAGTTTGATCCCTGGACAGGGTACATCCAATGAATGCATAAATAAAGAGAACAACAGATCCATGTTTCTCTCGCTCTCTCTTTCTTTCTCAAAAAGAAAGAAAGAGAAAATTAAAAGTGAATAAATGAAGGTATATATGGTTACAAAGTAAATCAATATGTTGCAGTATTTTATCAAAATGATTTTGAAAATTATGACATGGTTTTCTTGATGGCCAGCTCCATCATATCAGTGTCTGTGCACAGGTAAACAGTGACCCCAGGTGACTAGCAGTGGTCTAATGAGTGGGTCTAAGAACTACTGTTCTTCTGAAACATGATTCCAATTGAAATTAAATTTCAAGCTACCTGCAATGACTTTAATGTGATATGAAAATCATATGTAACTTTGTATTGTTGATGAAAGCATGATCAGTATTGCTGATACTACTGAGATTTGCTGCATGCAGTCATAATAAAGGAAATACTAAATGTTCATTAGAGTTTGACAAAAATAATGACTTTTTTTCCCATCTAAGTTTAATATTCTTTTTAACAGATATCTATCTATCCATGGACCTCATGTGAGTTCTTGGAAAGGTTAAGAACCCATGCAATAGAGTATCTAAAAAAGAGGCATAATGATTGGTTATAAGCATCTTGTTTTTCTAAATGTATCCTCAAAAGAAATGGCATAATTACTAACCATTATCTATATAAAAGCCTAACATGGAAAGTGTCTCCGCAGGTATTCAATTGGGAGATCAGGAGTTCTATTGCTTGCTATGATGTGCGCTGACCACCAGGGGGTGGCATGGAAAGAAAGAAGGCCCTGGCAGGCAGCCGGCAGCTAGGGAAAAGAGGGCCCTAGTCAGTAGCTGAAAGGAAGGTCTTGGCCATTAGCCAGAAGGCCCTGATCAGCCCCAATCATTGGCCAGGCCTAAAGACCCTACCATGCATGAATTTTATGCACTGGGCCTCTAGTGATAGTAATGATAGCAACCACTGAATTCCTTCAATGTGTCAGTTACTGTACTTGGTTCCTATACATATTATTTCACCAAAATCACTCATTAGGTGGTTCTTGTCTCCATTTTAGTCAAAGTTCAGAGAGATTAAGTAATCTGCCCAACAGCATATCTTTCCCAAGTGATAAAACTATGATCCAAACTCAGGTTTAATGTGAAAACCCAGATTTTAACTCCTCTTGTTGGCTCTCTGCCTCTGCTGTCTCTCACAGCTCCTCCAACACTGACTCACCCTCTCCACCACCTAAGGGAGCTTTGACAAGCCCCTGTGACCTCTTCATTCCTATCCCAGGGCCCAAATTGAGTGATTCACTTTCCCCTGGTTTGTAAATTCTTTAATAATTGCCATTGCCCAGAGTAAATAGCTTATTCAAGTTACCAGCTATCCTGAAACTATAATATTCTAAACCCATCAATTTGGGTGGAAATTTCCTCAGGAATACTGAAACAGCTCTTTATCACCTGGCTGCATAAAACAATAAAAATGCTGTAGAATTTTAATCACCTGATTAGCAAACATGGAGCCAAGGTTACATACTTCAATCTAAGGGTCATAGGAAATAGTAACCAAATTTACCATGGTTACCAAATATACAAATAACTGCCCTCATAAAGGATACCCTCTTGAATCAAAATCTAAGAAAACTGATGGGCTGTTACCTTCATTACAACTTGTTTTTTACATATGTACAAGAATGCTCCAATCATGCTCCCATTGATGCTCACACTCTGTGGGAACAGATATGGATCTGGTGCAACTTTTTAGAAAAGCAACAATTTATAAAGTCTGCACATGTTTTAACCTCATATTTTTATCTTTAGAAATTTATTTTAAAGCAATCATCAAGGATGTTCAGTTTCCAGGGATAATTTTGGGAATATTATTTATACCGACAAGAGTCTAACAAGGAACTTGTTTGATCAAATGTTGTCAGCATAATTAAAAAAATATATATGTATATTTAATATATATAAACAAAAACATAATTTTGATCAGATTCTAGGAGAGTTTTGCTTGATTTGCTTATCTATACTTAATTTCTGTATCAGAAATTTATTGAGATTTCTACAATAAACATATTACTTTTGGAAAGGAAACAAAAGTGAGAAAAAAAAAGACTCAGTTCTAAAATCATCCAGGGAGCAGTCCACAGTCTTCAAAGGTAACACCCCAAATGTATGAGAAACCATTGTTCTTGCTGGCAAACAGAGAAGTCATTCCACAGTCAACACTGAAAAATAAGTGTGCCTGCAATTAGGTGGAGGGATGGGCTAGGTGGGGCAGGCAGTAACCACAGGCTAAAAAATATTATGGGAGGCCAACATTCCTGCTCTGTGTTTGGGAATGTAAGTTCATGGTATCTACTTAGTTTGCTACTAAATAAGATTTTTTTAAAATAACTACATTATCTCTTTATCTATTTAAAAATGAAAGTAATAAAATTCCTTTAAGCATTGATTTTTGATCAGGGCTTTTTATAGAACAGCCCGGGTTTTTTTCACTTCACATTTCTGAAATGAGAGGACCATTAACAATGGGATGGGTTTACATGACTTGAGCCAGCCTGATTTATGAAGATGCCCAATGTGGGGATTTAACAGGTACAAAAATTAAGCCACCCACACTAGGCTAGTACAAATTGTTCTTCCTTTCCTTTTAATATGAAATATCTTTGTATGTGTATCTTTGTCAATGTAGATATTTATTTTAATTACTATGGTTAAAGAAACTTGCTAAGCCTTTCTGGAGGTGGATTTCATGTTAATTCCCAAAATTAATTAATCATTTCTCTCTCTTTCACATATACACACATTTTCCTACTACACAGCAATTAAAAAGAGCACACTATTGCTACATAAGACAATTTGGGTGAATTGCACAAATAATGAGAATGGAAACCATTTACGCCATCCCCTCCCCCAATTGTGACAGAATTCTAAATGTAATGTCAACTAATGTAGCTAAGTCCTTAAAAGATTTAGGGGTAAAAAGGGAAAGGAATAGTGAGTATCCTTATGCCACATTTCACACACTGGGTTTTTTAAGGAGCAACACCGTGGAATGCATAATGATTTGGCCACTCAGTATACATATATTAGAGGACTGGTGCATGAATTTGTGCATGGGTGGGGTCCAGCCAGCCTTGCCAAGGGGAGGGGACATGGGCTGTTGGCTGGTCTACCTGTTGGTCGAACTCCTGGTAGAGGGGACAATTTGCATATTAGCCTTTTATTATATAGGCTATACACTGACTGGCCAGATTATTATGTGTTCAGAGATCATAATAACCTGGCCACTCAGTGTAGTTCCCTGAGAGGTGCAGTTTCAAGGTTTTTAGATTCACAAGTTGCATCCTGCCAGTAGAAGACTGTGTCAAGCACTCAACTTGCTAATTCTCACCACACCCTTTTCTGTCACATGTGTACAAATACCAAATGATTCATGTTCAGGGCTTAGGGCCAATTGTAATGGTTGCTCTTGGTCTCAAATGTAAACTAGATGATACCTAGAAGGCTCTCAAAACAAACCAGGGAAGCCAAGTGGGGATCTCTTGGAATACCTAACCCTATGTTGTTTAAAGCAATCCCTTGACTAAAGCAAGAAAAGCCCTATGCTTAGCTATCTTAGTAATCTCTGACACCTATTAAATTTTAAACTGTAAAATTTTTAAAACTTTTATTTAAAAGATGTGCACAAAAATGTACAGTTCATTGAATTTTATATATGTTTATACCCAGGTGAGTTTCGTATAGATCAAGACAGAGGACATTTCTAGCACCCAAAAAACTCTTGTCTTAGGCAATGGGCTCCTTACCATGACTATATACAGCCCGAGCAAATATGGTTCTGATTTATATTATCATAGATTTGTTTTGCCTGTCCTTGAACTTCATATAAATTGATTCATAAAGCATTTCTCTTTTGTGTCTGGTTTTTCTCAATCAACACTATGTTGTTGAATTATGGCTCCTAAAATATCACCGGAACAATCCTATATAATAAAGAGCTAATATGCAAATGGTTGTCACGCCCTCACACTATAATGGCTCAGACACTCAACACTGGGGAGAGAGGATTGGGGATCAGCCAGGCACAAATGAGCACACAAAAGAGGAATGGGAACCAGCTAGGCTGTGGCCTGGGAGAGGGACAAGCGGCCCACCCCATGGTCCTGGGCACCAGTGGCTGTGCCTGTGCCTGTGCCTGCAGCCTGTGAAAGGAACAAGCAGCTGACCCCATAATCCTGGACAACAACTGCTGCACCTGTGCCTGTGGCTGGGAGAGGGACAAGCCACCCACCCTGTATACCTAGGCACTAGCACCTGTGGCTGTGTCCCAGGAGAGAGACAAGCTGCCAGCCCTGTGGTCCCAGGTACCAGTGCCTGAAGCTTTGGCCCAGGCAAAGCTGCCTTCCTACAGCCCCCTGCAGCTACAGCCAGCCCAGGCAAAGCTGGCCCAGATCCTGGGTGCCTGTGGCCAGCCAGAGGGAAGGGAGTCTGGATTCTGGGTGCTTGCGACCAGCCAGAGGAGGAAATTCTAGGTCCCAAGTACAGTGTGAGGCAGAGATGATTAAGGGGCAATCAGGCCAGCAGGGGATCAGTTAGGGGTGATCAGGCAGGCAGGCAGGTGAGTGGTTAGGAGCCTGCACTCCTGGATTGGGAGAGGAAGTTGGACATCCCCTGAGGGGTCCTGGATTGGAGAGGGTGCAGGTCAGGCTAAAGGACCCCCCTCCCCACCATGCACCAATTTTGTGCACCTGGCCTTTAGTCTGATCATAAGAGAATGCTGAGTATACTGCTTATTACAGTTATGGAGGATGTCATCTTAAGAGAGCTTTGGTAGTATGTTGGAGGGAGGTAGGAATAGCCGGACTTGAGATTTTTATTCTGGTTTAAGGGAAGTCTTTCAATGTGAAAGTTTGAGTAGGATTGGTGAGGATTATGATATCAGTTAGCATTGGCAGAAATGTTAAGGCAAGGATTTTGAGGTGAGGGGCTTAAAGACTCTTGAGATGTAAATTGTTGATTATCTCTATTGAAGAGATGATGGGTCTTTCAGGAAGTTTCTATAATAAACAAAGGTGTTTGCCTCCCCAAAAGTATTCTGACCTGCAAAGACTATCCTAATATTTAAAAACCCTGGGTCCCTTATGACCAGAGGCTCAACTAACCAGAAGTCAGTCCTGCAGTCAGTGTTAGATTGCGGTTGTGACCCAGCACTGACTGCTGAGGGGGCTGTGTGAAAATCAGGCTTGGAGAGAGACATAGAGAGAATCAGGGTCTGATCCATAACCTCCATGGCAGCTGTTAATCAGCACTTGCCTCTCTGTTTCTCTCTGGGCCTGGCCAGCAGCCACACCTCCATTTCTCTCCAGGACTCCACTGGAGTTGCTTATCAGCCCCGACTTTCTGATCAGGCTCCATTAATAGACCCAGAGACACTGACTGGCATAGAAACTGACCAATCAGAACCAATTCTGGGTCAACTGTGAGGAGCCAATGGCTGCCTAAGAGACAGAGCTTTTGATGCTGACTGGCATAGAAATCAACCAATCAGAACCAAACTCAATGAACTCTGAGGAGCCAATGGCTGCCTAGGAAGTAAAGATTTTGATGCTGACTTGCATAGAAATTGACCAATTAGAACCAAATTGACTGGCAGAGGAGGGCAGTTGGGGGCAAGATCAGGTCAGCAGGGTAAGGCAGTTAGGTGTGATCAGGCCAGCAAGGAAGGGCAGCTGGGGATGAGACCAGGCTGGCAGGGGAGGGTAGTTCAGGGAACAAGCCTTGCAGGGGAGGGCAGTTGGGGGTGAGATCAGGCCAGCAGGGATGGGCAGATGGGGACGATTGGGTCAGCAGGGAAGCATTAGGTGTTAATCAGACTAGCAGGGGAGCAATTAGAGGGTGATCAGACTGGCAGGCAGAAGCACTTAGGGGCAATCAGGCAGGCAGGCAAGCGTTTAGGAGCTAGCAGTCCCAGAACATCCCCTGACGGGTCCCAGATTGGGGAGCCTGCAAGCTGGGCTTACAGACACCCCCCCTCCAGTGCACAATGTTTATGCGCTGGGCCTCTAGTGGAATAATAAAATTGTGATAATATAGACAGTAAGTTGTGAAGCAATTTATGGTTTCAGTTCTCATTATACAACCTGGAGGTGGGAGTGGGTGGTTTCATTTTACAATATTTTTTGATATTCATCTGTGTTGTCTCATGTATCAATAGTTTTTTGTTGTTGTTGTTGTATACTGTTCTGATATTCAAACTTACTATACTTTATTTACCTATCATTCTATCAATGGATATTTTGTTGTCCGGTTTTTGCATTTTAGGAAATATGCTGTTGTGATCATTCTTATACATTTATTTTTTTATGCATATGAGAGATCACTAATGTTGTTTTGTTTGTTTTTCCTTTTTAAGGAATCAAACTGCCAATGGAGATTATTTTGTTGTGTTTTACTTAGCATCTCAGGGACCTCATACTTTCCTCCTGGCCTACCACTGGAAAGGTTTGACTCATCTTTTCCAGTCCCTCAGAGTATTCATTACTTACTGGTTTAGTATTTCTGTTTTGCCCATTGTGTGCCCTGTACTGCATAAGTTGCTGAGGACACAGCTGTGAACAACATATTCTTTTTCAAAAACCATTTTTAATTTTTCAATTATAGTTGACATATTTATATTAATAAAAGGGTAATATGCTAATTAGGGCAGATGTCTTCTGGATATCTATCCGATGTCCATCGCACAAAGCCACAGTGGCTGTGAGCCGCAAACCAAGGGAGTTAGAACGAGGAGGAGCTGGAGTGGAGTCGATGCTTCTGCCATGGAAGCTGTGTGGGTTGGTGCAGGACTATGACCTTTGCATCAACTGCTACAACACAAAGGGACACACCCACAAGATGGTGAAGGTAGGCCTAGGTGAAGAGGCCAATAAGGGCGGCAGCAAAGATGAGCTGCAGTTTAGGAGCCTCTGTGAGTGGCTGCACCAGGCCATCCAGCGCTGCATCCAGTCCCTGAGGCATGCCCACCAGTGCCATGAAGCCAATTGCCCGCAGCTGTCCTGCCAGAAGATGAACCGGGTTATGCAGCACACCAAGGGCTGCCAGCACAAGGCTAATGGAGATTGCAGAGTGTGCAAGTAGGTCATGGCCCTTTGTTGCTACCATGCCAAACACTGCAAGAAAGCACATGCCCAATACCCTACCACTTCAACATCAAGCAGAAGCTCCACGGGCAAGAGATACAGCACCCGCAGCAGCATGCGTAGTTCATGCACCAACAGATGCCATCATGAACACCCGCACCATGCCTCAGCAGAGTCTGCCTTCCCCTTCTTCAGCACCATCCCAGCCCCTACACTGCATCCCAGCGCACCCTGGACACCACAGCCCCCAACTGCCCAGCCCTTGCCTGTGAGCACGTTGCTAGCCAGCTTCTCCAGAGGCCAGAACTCAGCCTCCCACCACAGTTTGCACTGGGAAACCGGGAAGCCCACTAACCAGGTGCCAGCTTCACCGCCCCTCCGTCCAGGCCCACCTGCAGCAGTGGAGGCACCGGGCAGATTGTATGTGAATCACAGCAGCAGCACCTGTACTGGATGAACACCAACAAGGTGACCCCCAGAACCAGATGGACCCCATGGGCCTGATTGTGATCCAACCAGGTCAGTGGTCCTGATATTCTGCCCCCAGACCCCCGGCAATGGCAGCCAGCACCATCCCCCAGCAACAGCCAATGTGAGGCGTGCCCAGACCGGGGATGTCTATGCAGACCCAAGGTGCAGCCACCGCAGAGCATCTCTCCAGGTGCCCTGCAGGTCCTGCTGGGGTCCCTGAAGACTCCCAGCTCCCCCAGCAGCAGCATATGCTCAACACCCTCAAGTCAAACCCTCATCTGATGGAGCTCTCATCAAATAGCACACAGCCCAGTTAGTGGCCAGCCAGCCCTGCCTTCAGCTCTAGCCCAGCCTGCTGACCCTGAATGCCATTCAAGCCAGTGGGCCACGACCTGCTGTCCCTCTGCAATAGCAAGCATTGGGAGGCCTGGACCCCAGGACCAGGCCTTGAACATCATGAACCCAGGGCACAACCCCAGCCTGGCAAGTTTGAACCACAGTATAGAGATGCCAAGAAGTAAGAGCAGCAGCAGCAACAGAAAGGCAGTTATCCTGCCCTCCCTACTCTGGCTTGCTGAAATGGATATACTGGTGTGTGTTAAAAAAAAAAAATCTAACATACAAAAGCATGCAAAGGAAGGGTCTGAATCCAAGAATACTGTATCCAGCAAGGCTATCAATCAAAATTGAAGGGGAAATCAGGAGTTTCACAGACAAAAAAAGACTGAAGAAATTTATCTCCACCAAACCAGCAATGCAAGAAATGCTAAAGGGTCTTCTGTAAAAATAAAGAAATAGGAAGTGAAGAAGGAACACGGGTATAGAATAAAAATGGTGTCAAATGAGTACCTATCAATAATAACCTTAAATGTAAATGGATTAAATGCTCCAATCAAAAGACATAAGGTGTCAGATTGGATAAGAAAACAAGACCCATATATCAGTTGTCTACAAGAAACCCACCTCAGAAAAAAAGATGCACACAGACTGAGGGTGAAGGGATGGGAAAAAGTTTTCCAGGCAAATGGAAATGAAAAAAAAAAAAGCTGGGATATCAATACTTATATCTGACAAATTAGATCTCAGAGTGAAGGACATAACAAGGGATAATGAAGGCCACTGCATAATACTAAAGGGAACAATCCAACAAGAAGAAATAACCCTGGTAAATGTATATGCACCCAATACAGGAGCACCCAAATACATTAAAAAAAAACTGCTGGAGGACATTAAGGGAGAGATTAATAGCAATACAATCATAGTAGGAGATTTTAATACCCCACTGTCACCCTTCGACAAATCATCTAAACAAAAAATCAGCAAAGAAATATCAATCCTAAATGACTCACTATACCAGATGGAATTAATTGACATCTTCAGAACACTCCACCCCAAAGCCACAGAATATACATTCTTCTCAAGTCACATGGGATATTTTCAAAGATAGACCACATTTTGGGACATAGGCAAAGTCTCTTCAAATTCAAGAAGATAGAAATCATATCAAGCATCTTCTCAGATCATAATGGCATAAAAGTGGAAATTAACTACAATAAAAATAATCCAAAGAAATCAAACACATGGAGACTAAACAGCATGCTATTAAACAAGGACTGGGTTACCAGAGAAATCAAGAAAGAAATTAAAAACATCCTGGTGTTGTTGAAACAAATGACAATGAAAACACAACAATCCAAAATCTTTGGGACACAGCAAAAGCAGTTTTGAGAGGGAAGTTCATATTCTTACAAGCCTATTGGAAAAAACTGGAAAAAATGGTAACAAATGATATAACTCTACAACTCAAAGAGTTAGAAAAAGAGCAACAAGAAAAGCCAGTGTAAGGAGAAGGAAGGAAATAACAAAAATCAGAGCAGAGATAAACAACGTAGAGACCAAAGAAACAATACATAAGATAAACAAAACCAAGAGCTGGTTCTTTGAAAGGATAAACAACATAGATGAACCTCTAGCCAGGCTAAGCAAGAAACAAAGAGAGAGGACCCAAATAAACAAAATCAGAAATGAAAGAGGTGAAATAACAACAGACCCCACCAAAATACAACAGATTGTTACAAAATACTACGAACAACTCTATTTCAACAAACTGAACAACCTGGAGGAAATGGACATAAACCTAGAAAAATACAAACTTCCAAAACTCAATCAGGAAGAATCTAAAACTCTCAATAGACCAGTGACTTGGGAAGAAATTGAAACAGTCATCAAAAAGGTTCCAGCAAACAAAAGCCCAGGGCCAGATGGCTTCACAGGAGAGTTTTACCAAACATTCAAGGAAGAACTAAAACCTATCCTCCTCAGACTATTCCAAAAATCCAAGAGGAAGGAACACTTCCAAACTCCTTCTATGAAGTCAGCCTCACCCTAATACCAAAACCAGAGAAAGACAACTCAATGAAAGAGAATTACAGGCCAATATCCCTCATGAACATAGATGCCAAAATCCTCAACAAAATTCTAGCAAATCAATCATAGTAGGAGATTTTAATACCCCACTGTCACCCTTCGACAAATGGAAATGAAAAAAAAAAAAAAAAAGCTCCAGAAGAACATCACAAAGATCATACACCATGACCAAGTAGGATTTATTCCAGGAATGCAAGGATGGTACAACATCTGCAAATCAATAAACGTGATACATCACATAAACAAACTGAAAGATAAAAATCATATAGTCATATCAATTGATGCAGAAAAAGCATTTGATAAAATCCAACAGCATTTCCTAATAAAAACTCTCAACAAGGTGGGAGTACAAGGATCATACCTCAACATAATAAAAGCTATATATGATAAACCCACAGCCAACATTATACTCAATGGGCAAAAACTAAAACCATTCTCTCTAAAAACAGGAACAAGACAGGGATGCCCACTCTCGCCACTCCTTTTTGACATAGTACTGGAAGTACTAGCCATTGCAATTAGCCATAGGAGGAAATAAAAGGCATCCAAATTGGAAAAGAAGAAGTAAAGTTATCCTTATTTGCAGATGACATGATATTGTACATAAAAAAACCCAAAAGACTCCATTAAAAAAACTAATCAGGTTAATAAATGAATTTGGCAATGTAGCAGGATACAAAATTAATGCCAAGAAATCCATGGCATTTCTATACACCAACAGTGAAACTACAGAAACAGAGACTAAAAAAGCAATTCCATTTACCATTGCATCAAAAAAATTAACATTCCTAGGAATAAATTTAAGTAAGTAAGTAAAGGACCTATATGCGGAAAACTACACGACACTGAAAAAGAGATAGAGGAAGATGTAAAGAGCTGGAAGAACATACCATGTTCATGGATTGGTAGAATCAACATCATCAAAATGTCCATACTTCCTAAAGCAATCTATAGAGTCAATGCACTCCCCATTAAAATACCAACAGCATATTTCACCGACCTAGAAAGAACTCTCCAAAAGTTCATTTGGAATAATAAAAGACCCCAAATAGCCACAGTAATCCTGAGAAAGAAGAATAAAGTAGGAGGGATATCAATACCAGACTTCAAAGTCTGGTATTGGCTGTATTACAAAGCCACTGTTCTTAAAACAGCCTGGAACTGGCACAAGAACAGACAGATAGATCAATGGAATAGAATTGAGAACCCAGATATCAACCCAAATCACTATGCTCAATTAATATTTGACAAAGGAGGCACGAATATACAATGGAGTCAAGACAGTTTCTTCAATAAATGGTGTTGGGAAAATTGGACAGACACATGCAAAAGAATGAAGCTAAACCACCAACTTACACCATTCACAAAAATAAACTCAAAATGGATACAGGACTTAAACATCAGACGGGAAACCATAAAAATACTAGAAGCACCACAGGCAGCAAAATCTCAGACGTATGCTAAAAGAACTTCTTCACTGATACTGCCCCTAGGGCAATGGAAGCTAAAGAGAAAATAAACAATTCGACTACATCAAAATAAAAAGCTTTTTTACAGCAAAAGAAACCATCAACAAAACAACAAGAAAGCCCATGGTGTGGGAGAACATATTTGCAAATAATACCACTGATAAAGGTTTAATCTCCAACATCTACAGACAGCTTATACAACTAAATAAAAGGAAGATGAATGATCCAATTAAAAAATGGGCAAAGGAGAGAGGAGATCCAAGATGGCTGCTCAGGTAGACATTTAGCCACGGCAGCACACAACAATTTCAATGGAATACAACTAAGATGTAGAGTGGACATTGCCCAGAGCTACAGGTAGTCGACTGACTGAAAATTCTACAACAAGAAGGAAAGAGAAAACCAGAAGGAAAATCAGAGGAGCTAAAAAAAAAAAAGCCTAAGGTATGGAGACATGCTTCGCGACCGCCCGCACGCTCGCGAGGAGAGGTCGCAGCCAGAGAGGAGGAGAGGGCGGGGTGCTGCCTTTCCTTCCCTAGCAGGAAGGAAATAAAACCCCCAGCCTGGGCTGAACCCCCGAACCGGCAGCGCTGAGCCCCCCGAACCGGCAGCGCTGAGCCCCAGTTGTGGG